AAAGGTCTAAAGAATAAATTAACTTGTTTGTTACGTAACTAGGTAAGAGCATTACATATATCTTATTACTGTTTTATTCATCGTTAGAAGAAAATCAAATCTGGTATTAGGAAAATTACAGGGTTTTTAGTCATTACTGTTTCAAATATCGATACCTGTTGATGGACATCACTATTGTGCTTCCATTCTCACGGTGTCACCACTTAGCAACGGTAGGCGAAATAAAAAAAACAATTCCCTAGCACTTTACTCTAACAACACCAATGTTGTTGAAGGCCACGTAATATAAAACGGACGAATTTGCGAATATTTTGTAACATTTTGTACCAGGTGTCACTTATTTAAAAAAAATGTTCCTATTAAAACAAAACACAACTGTTCATAGTCACTTTTCACTGCTAAGTTATCTAAAATAGTAAGCCTAATTTTAGTCCGTTTCCACCCTTTTCTTAAGAGGAAAAGATGGAAAGGAAAAGTGAATTTGACGGTGGAGAAGACGCATAGGAAGGGGAAATGTCCTCTTTATGTGCGTCTCCTCCTCAGTCAATTGAGGGTTGGCAACGGAACTGCTATTGCGGATGCGTTTATGGGCAGCGGTCGCTTTCCATTTTGGCGGATTCAGGTGGGCGCTTACTCCTTTGCCATCTCATATTAAAAAAAGTAACGACGATGTGATGATGTACAGAATAATATCAAGCGGTGTGATTAATCTCCATAAAGTTTATGATCTTGAACGAAAACCTTGAAATAACTTAATAATGGGTAGAATGAAATAAGAATGGTTAGGTTACCAATGACATAACGTCACCCTTACTAGATTCAGGAAACTCACAGAGGAGCACGGAATAGAATAAAGACATTTCAAATAAATTATAAATTTTCATAACAGACCAACAAAAAACTGAGATACAATACCCGTCTATCATCTACCAGTCATTTAAAGGGTAACTGAAACATGATAATAGGGCAAAAATTGCCCGTTTCTATGCTTTTCTATACGTAAATCTATATATGAAGAAGAAATCCTTCCTTTTTTTAGTAATCATACTTACTAATTACTTACTAATGTTATAAATGCGAAAGCTTAGATGGATGGATGGATGTATGTTCTAGTTCGTAGCCTTAATGGATGAACGGATCTGGTTGAAATTTGGCATAGTTGGAGAACATAATCTGGAAGAACACATAGGCTACTTTCTTTTGTTTTTTTTTTTAATTCCACGCGGACGGAGTCGTGGGCGGAAGCTAGTTATTTAAAAAAAACAAATAAGACTCTACCATCTTGCGTTCACTATCTCGTGTGCAATAAAATGTATTGCGTAAATTTTCAGCAACTGCGAACTGCAAGTGTTTACTTACATTGTCTTGCGACTTACGTTATTTGAACTGAGCGTTAGAATGATACCGTCTGTATGATTATCTCAACCACATAGACAATTAAGGAAACGGGTATAACGTATTTTTTTTTATCTAAACGCGTTGTTTTATAATAACTGTGCAGACATTTTTAAATCATTCATTGTTTTTTATGAATCTTTCAATTTATTTTGAAAACATAATAAATTAGAACTATATAATTTTCTTTTTTACTTTAAGACTGCTTACGGGAAATTATCAATAATATTTAACTGATTTCCTTGCGTTAAGTTAAGCAAGTTATCCTTAAGAAAAAATGCTTAGCGATGTTTCTGTTAATAGTAACTGGCCATTTTCGAATAGTTTATTATAGATTCGAATTTTAATAAACAAATATTTTTTTTTCATAACTACTTTATGGCTATCTGAACTATTTAGATATTTAACAGTGGTAGAGCCCGCTTTAACATCTTCGCACGAATGGGCCGGCTCGCCCGGTGAAATACCACGACCACACAGAAAACAGGCGTGAAGTGGAAGCAATTTCGCGTTTCGTCTGATGAGTGTGGTGCCGGAGGCCTAATTTTGGTCCCTTTTCCTTTCCACCTTTTTCTTGAGAGCAAAGGATGGGAAGGAAAAGTGGATTTGACGGTGGAGGAGATGCATAGGAAAGGGAAATATCCTCTTTATGAGTGTCTCCTCCTCCTTCAAGGGTAGGCAACGCATCTGCAATTGCGGATGTTTATGGGCAGCGGTCGCTTTCCATTTCGGTGGATTTGGGTGGCCGCTTGCTCGTTTGCCAGCTTATATTATAAAAAAAAAAAATTGTCAATCTAATTTCAATGACTATATTAGAGCAAGTTAAACTTATTTAGAAATGTTCAAAAAGTATCACTTTTCCGCGAAACTATTTGTCACAATTAAAATAGTGATGTTCATATATTTTACGACTTTAATGTTTAAACAGCGAATGGCGCGCTGTGACAGTGTTGGACGTATTCGACTTTCGCAGAAACGAGATAAGCCGCCTTATCTATCCTTGAAGGCTCTAGAGAATTAGGTTACTAAGATAACTTCTGTTACTTTGCTCATGAATCTTCGATAGCTCGGAGATGTGTCGAGATTAATGATGAAGAATATTTTTTTTTAAATATCCTTCCGTATAATAAACGCTGTAATTTTAAAAGTTACGGACCTTACTGTCAACGGAGTCTAATTTAAATCGGAGTCTGATTGCGTCTACTTATACCATAACTTGCTTTTGCCCGCGATGATGTCCGCGCGGAACTAAAAATTATCTAGAAATAAATAAAGCCTTATGTTACTTAATAATGATGTAAACTTAATAATAAATTACTACAGTAATTTCGGAGCCTATTTAATGCATGTAATTATGAAAATTTTATTTCATTGTTGACATTTGTCAAATTATCAATAGCAAATGTCAAAATGACATGATATGATGACAACCTTGCTTCCTTTATGTTGGCAGCAACTTATGGTCTCTTTCCCACATTAGGGTTTTTATCCAAAATTTTTACCCCCTAAGTTTAATAGCGTTAAAATATATAGCCTTAAGCGTGACGCAAGTGTAGGACTTTTTATTAAAATGAGAATTTTTCAATAATATGCTATAATTGCTGACATCTAAGGCAACAAAGAAGTGTGTGTTTACGCTTTATTATAATAAATTTGGCACCAAAAATCTGTAATGTTTTAAAAATCCAAGTGCATTTTATATTATAAAATATTTATCATGCATCAAAATCATGCGATAAACAATCAATGATAAAAATCTATGTTTTGATTTAATATTACGTAAAATGTGCAAAAATTTAGCACACAAAGATAATTCGCATCATTGACTTGAAGTGATTGCAGTTTATTATCTATTTATATCTTTAAATGTGTCTTGTATTTCTCTGATTTGAAAAGTGATACTCAGATATTTTGTGTGCAGTTATAGCTAAAATATTCCTTTATTTTTACTTACTATGAAAACCTTTGCATATATTTCTACTAAATTAATAGTTTTTTATCTATACTATTATAATAAAGCGTAAACACACACTATTTTTGGCGTAAGATGTAAGCAATCACAGCATGTTTTTGAATAATTCTTTCCTTTATTAAAAGTCCTGCACTTTCGTCACGCTATAGGCTATTATATATTTTCACGTTATTGGACTTAGGAGGAAAATAAATTGGAAAAAAACCTTCATATGGGATAGGACCATAACCTAGAAGCTGCCAACATTAAGGAATCAAGAAGTTTATCGTAACGGCAATTTTGACGTTTGCAATTGAGAATTTGACAAATGTAAACAATAAAATAAAGTTTTTATAATTTGATGCGGATGAAGCCGCACGGGAACAGCTATATTGTGATAAAACGGGAATCCGCATGGAATATATCAGGGATTAGTTGTTGCCGATAACATTCCGTACCACGCGAGGATTATTTTAAAAACTCTTGTTTACTTTGGAATTTGCGGACGTGTACATGTTCAGTGCATTGCATAACGCTGCTCAAAATAAATATTTAAAATATCAGTCTAAGCGGCTTTATTTAAAGAATTGCTTGCAAACAGGATTCAACAGAAATGTTCCCGAAATATCTTGAATGCTGCATATTTGCAATTCGTCTAGGAATATTTAAAAAATTGAACAAAACTCATCGAAATTAATTCATTTGCAGCGAACGTTTACTTTACGACATTTTGTGCTGATTTATTGATGAGCATGCCATCTTTACAATTTGTCTAGGTAAATTAAAAACAGGCGGTATTCACGTTTGGTAAGTGACAGCAATGAAACCGAGCAATGTTGACGTAAATATTTCACACGTACAGAAATAACAATAAACAATTTCTGCTGTTAGCTTTACCGATTATTAGAAATTAAAGAACGGTTTATTTAAATTAAAGATAATATTATAAATTAGCTAATTAGAAGTTAAATTAAGTAGATTTAGCTTTTGTAATAATCAATGTTTATACAAATATCTTATGTGTATATGTTTATTTGTGATATGTCCGATAAAGATATTTATCAAGCGATATCTTAGCCTGTCCCTGAGAGAACTGAAATATTTTATCTCTTGGTCGTACAAGGTTAGAGGATAATTGAAAACTATGCGTAAGCTGAAACAAACATTTCGTGTTTGGGAGAAACATAAACAATTTTATTGCCTTCGCTAGAATATTTTTTAGACCAAATATAAATACAAACAGTCATAGAAATTATTAACTTAATAGGTTAATAAAATAAAATAAAAGACTAACTTAGGTAACAAAATGTTATTGCGCATTCGAAACTTAATTTTTGAACAAAACAAATATCTTGAAATAAACACTAACAAGTTACTTCAACCGTGAAATATATGGAAATCAAGGAAAATTATACTTAAGTAATCGTAGGTTACTGATAGATGTGGTCAGAGGGAAATGTAAAAGAAACAGAGCGACCAACGCTCACTTATGTACTGGGTACGTTTCTCAAATTACGTACTGGCTGAAGTCATCGCCATTGAATACCAGTCTGTAGTACAAAAAAAAAACAACTTCGCAATGACACATGGAAACAACTGAAGTGAAAAGCGATTATCTTTTACGATCCGCATACTATGATCGCATCTTGGCCAGTATAGCTCCGACGTTCAAGGAGGGAGCACGCGCGTTAACCGCATTGCTGCACTCGCGCCGGTATCGAATACATCAATTAAAATCGCGTGAAAAACACACAAAATTATATTTATCCCGTGCTTTTAGCAGTGTTGAGCGTGTGTGTGAATTTTCTTAACGGCCCCGGTCCGCGTATTTTCAAGGTAAATATGCCGGCAGTCATTCCAAACAGCTTTATCAAACTGTCTATTTGTTATCGAGATGAAAATGTTTCTTAATAGTTTTCACCGAATTTTCTGTAGGTATTTGAAGGCCAAAAGAATCTTCTCGCCTAAAATATCGTTTATTTTACGGTAATTTATGAATTCAAGCTGTTATTTCAGATTATAGTTGCTGCAGATTTTGGATCTAAGTTTAAGTTGGGATATGAGGGATCGATTAAACTGATTCCAGGTGTAGAGACAATTGCATTCCTTTCAATTTGTTTATAAAAGAAATAAAAACACGTTTCTTAAAGAACTAGTGTAACAACTGTTATCTCTAAGTATTCGAGTAGAATTACTACTAAAACAATTGTACTAACATATTTTTTTAGTAATTTCATTTGAGGAAACTCACGGCCGTTGTAAAGAAATTTTTTTGATCATTAACGATTTAAGATTTCAATTTATTCACTATTTCTTTTTCGTGTTTAATTTATACAGAATCCGTGATCTCGTAATGAAGTAATTTCTGTTATTTTTTTTTAAATATATTATGTACGTTCCATTAGCACAATTTATTAATGTCTCAAGCTAATTTAAATCAGGGGCAAAAATATATGATGTATATTTTAGTAAAATTATATTTTTAAGAATTTTACTTCTATGATAATATATTACTATATACCAAGTACTAAGTAATCTAACTAATATTATAAATGCGAAAGTTTAGATGGATGGATGGATGGATGGATGTTTGTTAGAGTTTGTAACCTAAACGGCAGAGGTAGAGGATAGTCTGGAAAGACACATAGGCTATTCACTTTTGTTTTTTTTTTTAATTCCACGAGGACGGATTCGCGAGCGAAAGCTAGTGTATTATAAATTAGTCGGTAAGTTTTGTTTGTTTTAAGTTATTGATGACGTAATCAACGTCACAGTAGGTACAAGCTACAAGCCTCGCGTCATTTAAAAATAATCTTAAGTTCTGTAAAATCCAGTTTTTTCTACCATAATTATTGTCTTATGTATGCAATCTACATTCAGAACATCTGTATTTTTTTACCTGAAAAACACCACCAATAAAATATTTTTATTTGTATTTAATAAATGTGCCATATTATGGAACAAAATTACTTTATCAAGAATATTAATAGTAATTCAAGTTAATAATAATTGAGGATATGTTACATTGCAATCTATTTATGTGCATAAATGATAGCTCACGGAGCTTGCGGTTTTGGAGCAGTTGTCAGGTGCGCGATATTTTACAGCTCAGAAAACATTTGTGTGCTCATTTTCTTTGAATAACTAGGAATATATAATATAGGCATTTGTTTGTACGAAAGCTTTTATGATCTAATCATGTTAAGAGCCCACGCAACCTTTTGACTAATTCATCGCACAACTGTTAAGTCGCGCTTTGATGCCTATGATATTGTATGGAGGTTCGCACACTACTCGATTTTAAAGTTGAATTAGATTTGAAACAATCAACAAATTTATTTGCTTTTTTTTGTCAGAGACCGTCTTGAAACTGCAGATGGAGTCATCTCAATAGTTATAACTATTAAGTTCGTTCACCTTGCTTTATGAAGACAATTGACGGTTAAATTAAACAGAAATAACGAGCCAATTAAGTAACAAATTAGCACCTGAAACGAGACTCTAATTAGTACAAAGGCATAATTATGCTTTGAGAGATAAAAGCGTCAGAACTTAAATAGTAAAAAAATGAAACGTATTTAACTTTCTAGATGGCGCTAATAGCAGAATCTAGGTTTAAGTCGTTAATTTTTGAAAGCTGAACTCGAGCCGTACCTCATCTTCATTTGATGCAGCTCAGCTTTCTAAAACGAAAGCTTTTACAAGCTGCAGCTGCTCGTAATGCGCGAACAAACCGCATATCCCAAAGTAAACAATAATCATAGTTGTTTTTATACCTTTTACATCTTTAAAATCAATAATAATTAAATATACAGTTAATATATAGTGTATTGATGCAAACATTTTGGCAACACTATAACTTCGCATGTTTGACCGATTGAAAAGAAAATATTTATAAGCAAGATCAACCAAAATCATTTAAGTTTCGTATAGCACGTTTTTACGACTTGACTATCTAACTATATTTGGATGTAAATGTGAGGACCTTAGTGGTGCTCACATTTACAGTCTTATTTTAGTCTATTTGTTATGACAAATTGCGAACTAGACCCGTTTGAATATCAAATTTTCAAATCGCATTTCAAAGAAATTCATTCAAATGTTATTTGTAATGTAATGTATAACATTTCATACACTTCGGCTTCGTGTTAACACGCATTTAAATAATACCCATCTTATATTATTTTTATTTTGATATGAAGAATGGTATTAAAAAAAACTTTAGATCCTAGACCAACTCTTCTAGTTTATGCTCGTTAGTACCGGTTGTGGTTGGAATGTATTTCTCTATTAATATATGCGAATGTTGATATTGAATTTCCTATATCATTACATAGGCTAGATGGTGTCGTTTTAAAACTAAGAGGGAACAGTCAAGTAGAAAATATTATTGGCCACAATCTCTATAGTAGAGTTTGCTTCGTATTTTTGCTATATGTATGTTTATACTCGTATCTATTCTATTGTGGCATTAGGTAGGGCCAAACTCTACTTAGATTAGACACGCTTGATCGATCGATCTTTAAGAGATAGAGAGGCGTAGAGTCATTCAGGTCGATTTAAATTAATTTCAAAATATATAATAAGTTAGATATGTCGATTTCCAAATAAATTGTCCTTCGTAAAGGTTAGAATCATATTGTATTCGAATGAACAAAGGTACACGTGGTGGTCATTATAAGTTTTGTTTGAATACCGCGAGCTTCTCGGAACCCCAAACAGCGAATACGAAAAGTTATTTGAGATACGACGGAACAAGGCTTAGGCGGTGCCGAAACATACTTATAATATTTACTTATTTCTCTGTTGATTTATTATTCAATTAGTTGGAACAAGTTGAAACTTAAAGCCAAAGGGTTCTATCGCTGGTGATATTTATTGCAATAAAATCGCCATAGGCTTGTCGTTTCTTACGAAGTAAATATTAAAAGTCTTCAAATATAGAGTGTAGAGTGGAAATGCTTAATTAAATTAAGACATCTTTCAGATAATTTTTAGGAGAAAGATATCGTCATGTTTAATTTAAACTGTGGGTATAGGTAGTACTATAAAATACGACCAATAGGCCCAAGTTCTTTGTGACCACGGGTTTCCTAATAGTTTGTACTTCGCAGACTTATCAAAAAATCATATAAATAAGCTCGGTAACATCTATTACAGTTTTGTACCATGTTACCAAGTATTTTGGTAGTTTTATTCAACAAAGTAAAGTTTGCAATATCACATCAAATATGTTTCCGACGCGACGCGACTTGTGTACCGTTTGCTACTACAGCGCTCCGTACATCCGAATTTCAATTCTAAAATCAAAAATTCAAGAGAACGTGCCTGGCGCTGCACCAACGTACATGATACATGTACTAGAATCCATTTATTCTTGATATTTGATGTATGGAGCATGCGAGTTGGAAGCATATTTACAAAGTCTACCAACATAAATCAAAACCATTCTGTCGCGTTGAATACTAAAGTTAAAGTACTGCAGTATTTGTTGAATTTATAAGTGATATAATTGAACCTATTTATGGAAAATTGATTTTGATACTTGTTAATATGACTACGCAATACATACAGAATTTATTAGGATTACTTGATCTCAGAGGCTTTGCCGATTGTCTCATCCCGTCATGCGTTAAATGAGAGCAGTGAGCAAATGAACACAGAACGTGGTCAGAGTCCGAAGGAGGGGGAGTCATCGGCAAACCATGACACATGAAAAGTTATCCCTAGGTCGAAAGTAGACACAGAAAGCAAGCGTGAAAAATTGATTAGTAACGTAATGTGAAGTAAATTACGTTACTCATATGTGTAAACATTAATTCACGATATCCAGTTTATGTAATTTGAAATTACGTTTAAAATGTGTTTCAAGGTTATTTGTGTTACCGGAATAAATTGGTTATTCTACGTATATCGTATACTTACAATTTACAAGTAAGAACTTCGTTATTCTTTAGACGCAAGGAATAAAATATTATTTTTAATTGAAAAAGTGGTTGAAAAAGTTTTTCATTTGAATAAGCGAATAGAAAGAGTACAAAACATGACACAGAATGTTGATTGAATCTTATACGAAACAGTATTTCTAATAAGAGTGATTATTTAAATTGTAGGAATGTAGTCCAAGCATGAGCAATTTCTTAGAATTGAGGAAACATTGCAAAGGAAGAGGTTGAACTGCCATCAATAATTCATCTTAAATACTTCTGTGATCATTACTAGAAACAGAATCATCGGATGCGTGCATGGAAAACGAAGTTTGATTAGCTTTCAAAAAGATGTAGCAATATCTTAATGTCAAATGTCTTTTGTTATCTACACATTATTAATAATGATTTAATGACTAGACTTGAACTAAGATATTCTACAAGAGAATTTTCAGGGATTGCTTAACAAGTCGCCATTGATTGTTCCTAATCCAGATCTGAATCATAGGTTTTTTGAACATAGATTCGATTGTTTTGCTCTAATTCTGTCGCAAGCAATTGGGCAGCTGTACAATTTTTTATTCAATTATTTGGAGTATGCCATCATTGTGACGCATATTAAAAATTTGCGTCAACCTTGATACTATTGAATATGACACATCTACATCAGATGTAATTGTGTTTGACAAAGATTTTAATTTACTACAATTGTCACAAGAGAATTAGGAAGCGACATTGATGACATAATTTGTTATTTTACTAGTTCTATGACTTCGATGTATTTATCTACAGATTTCACAGCAGACTGCGAAATTAACGCTGTTTTAACTAGTAATATCCGGAAGTAATTTAATATTTAACTTTAATTTTTTTGTTAAATTTTAAAATGTTTGTTTCAAATTACATATT